AATTACTTTTGGAATTCAAATAGTTACATTCATATTGATTCACTACGTAAAATTTTGCATAAAAAAGTAAAAATATAGGTCATAAGACAAGAAAATTTACAGTTTATGTGTATTTTACACTATGTTTTTACGTTCGTAATTTTACATAACGTAAAATATTTTTTACGACGATTATATATTTTCTTACAGTCTCTTTTTACATCAGAAATATGACAAAACTTACGTAACGTAAAATTACGATGCATTGATGGTAAAATAGAGGGGGGTGAAGAATAACTATTCCTCACCCAGGGTGACGAATAGTCAATCCCTATATATATATATATATATATATATATATATATGGAGAGAGAGGGAAAAAATGAACATCGTAACCTAAAAACAAAAGGGAAAAAGCCAAGACTAAAACACACAAGAGAGGGCAAAATAAAAAAAACGTGATGCCAAAGAGCAGCATACAACAGGCCAACAAGAGGGGCAACAACGAGCCGTACAACAGGAGCAGGCCGCCAGCAACATAGAGCAGCCCACACGCAGCCCACACACGAACAAAACCACAGCCGTGCAAAGACAACAGATGGCAAGAAAAAAACAAGTGCAGTACGAATCTTAAAGCCTTCAGATCATGTGGTGGAGAGGTTAGATGTGACATAGTTAATTTTCATCTAGATGTGAGTTAGCCAATCCGATAAACATAACATAAGAGCTCTTAGGTCACTAATTCTATAAAGAAAACGTATGTGTCTCCCCAAGCAAGTGGAAGTATTGCATCAAGTCAACACAGATGTTGTCATTCGCTAGAGAAAAAGGTGGGCATTTGGTCCTGTTCCTTTGTTGAGTGCATGAACCTGAACCTGATCTTGTGGCAAGCACAATCACTGGCCAATTAAGAAGAATATAAAGCGAAGAACCCGTGCAGCTGCTTCCTAACCGCCGGCCTGCTTTTAAGCACGGGTGAATTAGATAAAGCCGCCACTGCCTTTAATCATGACGATGCATTCTAAACAAATTTCTAACGGTAGAGAAAGCTGCATGCATGATCAGTGCAAGTGGGGGAGCAATACATAAAAGTAGCAGTGTCTAGCTAAGGCGTAGCAAGGCGAGTATTATAGTTTAGGAGAGTTGTGTGAGGAAATTTTCCTACTGTGATGATTGTTAGAAGTAACTAACCACATGTTAATTAAGGGATGAATCCCTGCGTGTTCTAACTGCAGCCAGTTGCCTAGTGTCGCGTCGATGGGTTTCTGCTGATAACTGCCATCTCTTTCAAGCACACGCCCCCCTTCAGAGCGTCTCGATCTCCGCCCTGTATAAGAGGCATCTTCATCAACTAAAGAAACTGCTGATCATTTACTCTTGGTCGTCATTTGCCTCTGTTTACAGTTGCTTTCAGCAGTGATCAGTAATTAACGGCATCTGCTGATGGGTCAAAGTCGAAAGCTAGCCTACCCATCATAGTTAGGTTGCTTAGGGCATGAACAAGGCCGGCCCTCAAATCACTCGCATACATCCGAACCGCACAGTCCGGACGTGTTGTGCCATTCAACACGGGTCTGTATCAATCCGCGGGGCGGTCCCGGTACACCTTCTTTCGCAAACAAAAGACAAATTTGTGGGGGTTTACGGGCGTCCGGACAATACCCACGCCCGTTTCTGACAACCTTGGCTCACACGAAACACTCCTCCCTCGCCCGTGCCTTCCTGTTCGGCGCCAGTTGCCTGCATTTATGTCAACTCACGGCGGCCGCTCTACATTGAAGTCAGCTCAGAGCGGACGCGACCTCTCATTGTCTATGCCTGCCATTGAAGCGGCGTGTCGTCCAAGGGCGCCACCCGCTGCATGCCCGGCTGAACATGCTTCCTCGCCGCATTCAAACGGCAGAAAACTACCCGCCTTCCTCCATTAAACCCGTGTGTGCCTAGATACCTACTCCGGCCACAAGTCCGTTTGCGAGCAGACCGGCATTAAACACAACGCTAGTTGGCTCCTCGCGTTCGCCCGCTATTTAAACGACGCCAGACATTGCGCAAGAACCGCACCACACTTTTGTTCCCCATTTCTTCCTTGAACAATTTTCTCCATGGCGCCCGGCGAGCAGGCAGAAGAGTTCTCCGGCATAAAAGCCACCTGGGTGGCCCGTCGATCCCACCGGTCACAAGCCCAGCATCTGTCTGTTCCACCTCCATCGACGCTCCAGGCTAGCTCGCGGAGGCTGAAGCTCCAAGCCGACACGTGGTTCAACTCACCAAGGAGTGGCTACTGTGGACGACGTTGTGTCGTACCGCACCTCCCATGCCTGCGACCGCGCCATCTGCCATTAATGCACGCGTAACCGCTCCTTGCCGGCAGAGAAAGAAAATGGCTACGCGGACATCCACGAGGCGGCAGCAAGCATGAAGGCCACCACCGATGCAACGCCGGCATAGACAACCGGTCTCTTACGCTTTGGGTAGGCCACCGTTGCCTCCCTACCTAAAAACCAACCCTGATCCGTGCATCTTAGGGCACCCTTCCCCTCCGGTTGAAGCATCAGCAGGCGGTTCCACTCCATTGAGTAGTGGGGAAGCGAGCCGCCCATTGCGCTAAGGCATATACCTCCGAGGCTCATAGCTGCGGGACATGGGAAAGACCATGGATATCCGCCGCAACCGGCATTAGACTAGTCAATGATATCCATGTCGTCGGAATGGAAATCCACCGGCGCCGGGCGTAGACTAATTTTATTTTTGTCCGGTATTGTTCTTAGTTAAAATAACATAAAAAATGTAATGAATTTCATCCTGTTTTATGAAATCTGATCTTGTGTCTACATGTATTTCATCCGATTAGTTTAAAAAGTGATTGAAATGTATGACGGACAACGTTGATGGCGATCTCCAGTGTCATTGTCTGCGGATTAATTCCCTGTACGCGGACAGATACGGGAGCAAATTTACGGGTCAAACTTTGGAGATGCCCTTTAGATAAGCCACACTCACATTGCTCTACGCCTCTGCATCGATCGTCGTTAGCCGCCTCCCTGCAAGTTGAGGAATCTGCTGTACGTTTGCTTTCAAAAAAACATCTCCGGATGCATGCATGTGTACGCATGCCTGCATCGGCCAATCATTTTCCTCCTTTCAAATATTTGACTTGACCATGGTGGAGAGGAGCCCCACCCCTGGATTTCAGGACGTAGGAGTGAATAGGGATGAAAATGAAATGGAAAGTTTCTGTTTTTCCGGATGAAAAATGGAAACGGAGAGGAAATATGAAAACGGAAACGGAATTTTGCAAAATGGAAATGGAAATGGAATTTTTTATGCGGAAATGGAAACAAAAACGGAATGGTGTTTTTCGGTGGTGTAGAAGACTATAGGATGCAACTCAATTGTATTCCATCGGAGTCGGTTACAATATATACAGGTGGTGTCTTGCGTGACAAGCCAACTAACCCTACAATATCTCTTGAGATCAATCTATACAAGGCTAGAGATAAGAGGAGAATCAGTCGGAAATAAATACAAAGATATCACGTTTCAACACCCCCCGCAGTCAAAGCATCGGCATCGGCGATGCAAAGACTGGAACGGAACTCCTGGAATGCAGCAGTAGGCAATCCCTTGGTCATAATATCTGCAAACTGTTGGGTGGTCGGTACATGAAGTACACGAAGCTGACCCAACTGAACCTTCTCACGGACAAAGTGAACATCAAGCTCAATGTGTTTGGTGCGCTTGTGCTGCACCGGATTAGCCGCGAGATAGGTGGCCGAAACGTTGTCACAAAAGACCACAGTAGCCTTCGGAAGAGAAATCCGAAGCTCACCAAGAAGATGACAAAGCCAACAAGTCTCCGCAACAACATTGGCGACAGCTCGGTACTCGGCCTCAGCACTCGATCGGGAGACAGTAGGCTGCCGTTTAGAGGA